TCGATATATTTAATAAATAACATTTTATATAAGAATGAAGTGGTTTTCTCTGATTTTTTCGCAGACACATTGATAAGGAACTTTCTATTTGTAATCTTCATTAACACTCAAAATAACGTTGTGGAATAATAATAATAATAATAATAATAATAATAATAATAATAATAATAATACAGCTTGAAATCTCAAAAATGTGGCACAAGAACATCACCAACCTAATTGTAGTTGGAGCCCTCGGATTGGTTGGAAAGATTCCCATAGACTAATTGAAAGGATTCCTTGTTGCCTATACCTTAAAGAAATACATAAATTGTTCTCCCGAGTAAAATCCATGCCTTACTAATGACTTTATCTACGTAAAATATGTACGCTTTTTTTTTTTTCATTTTTTTTCAAAACTGCTCAGTGTAAAATGTCATGATGCCATTTCTTACCTTAGGTCTCTGGTTGGGACTCGGAAAGAAATGAGTATACACCAGAAACCAAAGGAAATAAAATAATAATAATAATAATTCCTTGAAATAGAAATCTCGAAAATGTGGCATATGTGAACATCAACAATCCTGTATACAAAACCACAACAAACCTAGAAACTGCAGAAGACTTGATGATGATTTGTGTAAAAGAACATGTATGACGTAAGAAACTTTTTTCAATAATAAAGTAAGTCAACACGTCCAAAATGGAATTTCAAGTGGGTAAAGAAATGCAAGTAAAATATAATATACTGACTGCAGATGCAAAAACCTTAAAAAAACAAAACAAAAGCAAATGCAATGAGCAAGATACAGAACCGATGGCAATATTAACAACTTTATAGCTAATACTCTGCCCGTAACAAGCAAGCTGGTGTAGACAAACCCTGTAACCATCAGTTGCTACGTAGTTCGGGATTAAAAGCTGAAACCGAACGTTTTATTCTTGCTGCACAGTACCAATGCTTGCTAAATAGAATTTACCAAGGCAGACATACTGAAAATTTATGATATCCCAAAATGCAGATTCTATGATAAATATCCAGAAACATTTAACCATCTTGTACCGGGTTACTCGTCAAATATAAAATTCGGTATGACAGAGTGGGCCAATATCTGTACTAGAAAATCGGCAACTTCTACGTAATTGCAAGAAATTTTTTGAACACCACCCAGATTCGGTTACGCAGATAGGACCTGTAAAAAAAAATTATGGGACTTTACTATACACACCGATAGAATAATGAAAGCTAATTGCCTATACATCGTGATCAGTGACCGCAAAAACAAAATATGCCTTCTGATTGACATGGCAGTCCCAACAGAGCCTAATGTATTTTTGAAGATCGTAAAAAAATATCAAATTACAAGAACCTTGTGATCGAAATGTCAACATAAATATTCCAGTTGTAGCTGGAGCCATGAGGTTGACGGTAAAAATTTCCGTTAGACACATTGATGGTATTACTTGTAGACTATGCCTTAAAGAAATATAAAGCATTGAACTTACAAGTACAGGCTTTAACTATGTAAAATATGAGTAATCTTAGGTAGTTTTTTTCTTCAAAAATACCGAGTGGGGGGCGTCATGAAGCTATCTCAGACATTAGGTCTCTACCCGGGACCTGGAAAGAAATGAGTGTACACCAAAAAGCAAAACGAAAAATAATAATAATAATAATAATAATAATAACAATAATAATAACAGTAATAACAATAATAATAATAATTATTATAATAACAATAAAAATAATAATAATAATAATAACAATAATAATTATAATAATAATAACAATAATAATGACAATAATCATAATAACACTAGCAATAATAATAATAATAACAATAATAATAATAATCTGACAAGTACAGCCCACACTTTACGAAGTGCTTTATCTATGTAAATTTTTTTTTTTTGTCAGTGGAAAGTGTCATGATGCCATTTCTAACCTTAGGTTCCTGGGCAGGACCCGGAAAGAAATGTATAAACGCCAGAAATCAAAGAAAATAATAATAATATTAGGTTGGTGCAAAAATAATGTCGTATTTTGACGTTCAACTTCAAAAGATCATAACTCCTTTCATAATAAACTTTATTAATCGAAATAAGAACCATTAGAATCAACACATTGTTGCCAACGAGAAACAAGTTTATATATCCCATTAGCATAGAAATCCGGAGTTCTGGAAGCGATGAAGTCATTGAAGTCCGATTCGGCATCATCTCGGAAGTTGTCGAGATGCTTGAAAAAGTGATAATCGGTGGGCGAGAGGTCCGGTGAATATGGCGGATGAGGCAGAGTCTCGTAGCCCAATACGTTCAGCTTCTGCAGGGTCAGTTGAGCAACATGCGGGCGAGCGTTGTCATGGAGCAGAATTGGTCCCTTCATATTGACCAATCTCGAGCACATACGTTGGAGCTTCTGGTGCATTTCGTCAATTTGTCGGCAGTACTTCTCCGCCGTAATCGTTTCGCCCGGATTCAAGAAGCTGTGATGGATGAGACCGGCCGCAGACCACCAAACAGTCACCATAACCTTTTTTTGGTTCAATTTCGGCTTCGGGAAGTGTTGTGGAGCTTCTCCGGCATCCAACCACTGTGCCGAACGTCGCCGGTTGTCGTAGAGGATCCACTTCTCATCACACGTCACAATCCGCTAGAGAAATGGGTCGTTTTTGTTGCGCAGAAGGAGCGTAGAAGACACCTCAAAACGACGATTTTTTTGTTTATCGTTCAATTCATACGGCACCCATTTATCCAAATTTTTTGACTTCCCTATTTGCTTTAAGTGGCGAACGACTGTTGAGTGGTCGACCTCGAGTTCAACAGCAACTTCTGTGGTTTTGCGAGGATCAGCTTCAATTAAGGCTTTCAAATGTTCGTTATCAATCGCAGTCGGCCGGCCGCGACCGTCTTCATCTTCGAGGCTCTCGTCACCATTGCAAAATTTCTTGAACCACCGTTGTGCCACACGTTCGTTAGTTTTTCATGGGCCAACGCATCATTGATACCACGAGCTGTCTCGGCAGCTTTTCAGCCTAGTTTGAACTGGAACAAGAAAATCGTGCGGATTTGAATTTTCTCCATGCTGTCGAAAAGCCTGCAAAAAAATGAATGAAGAGATTGAGAACGGTAACGAATAACACGATTCGATAGAGCGAAAAACGCGCTTCAAAATGATATATAACATGGCTATATATATCAATGAATTAATTCAGAAATCATATATAAAAGTAACATATGTGAGAAAACGACATTATTTTTGCACCAACCTAATAAATAATAATCGTAATAATAATAATAATAACAATAATAATAATAATAGAAGTCCTAATTATTACAACTCAAGAGAGAAGCCTCGCAACCAAAACCTGTTACTGTTACATTACTGGTAAGTTTTTTTCTTTCAAAAACGTATTGCTGGTAATAGTTTTTTTTTCAAAAACGTATTGCTGGTTATATATTTAAAAAAAATGTATTGCTGATAACATTTTCTTTCAAAAACGTATTGCAGGTAATAGTTTTTTTTCAAAAACGTATAGCTTGTAACACATTTTTTGAAAATCCTATTGCTAGTAATAGTGTTTTTTCAAAAAAATGTATTGCTGTTAATAGTTTTTTTTTTCAAAAACGTATTGCTGGTAAAAATTTTTTTCAAAAACCTATTGCTGGTAAAATTTTTATTTTTCCAAAACCCTATTGCTGGTAATAGTTTTTTTTTCAAAAATTTATTGCTGGTAATAGTTTTTTTTTAAAAAAAGGTTTTGCTGGTTATATTTTTTTTTAAAAAAAAAAAAGGATTTCTGGCAACATATTTTTAAAAAACGTATTGCAGGTAATAGTTTTTTTTTTTAAAAAAACGTATAGATCGTAACACGTTTTTTGAAAACCTATTGCTGGTAATAGTTTTTTCTTTCAAAAAGTTATTGCTGGTAATAGTTTCCTTTTTTAAAACGTATTGCAGGTAATATTTTTTTTCAAATATTTATTGCTGGTAATTTGTTTTTTGTTTTTTCGAAAAACGTATTTCTGGTAATAGTTTTTTTTTTCAAAAACCTATTGAAGATAATAGTTGTTTATTTACAAAAACTTATTGCTGGTAATAATTCTTTTTTCAAAAACGTATTGCTGGTAATAGTTTTTTGGAGGAAATACGTATTGCCAGTAATAGTTTTTTTTTTAAAGACGTATTGCTGGTAATAGTTTTATTTTTAAAAAACGTATTGATAAAAGTTGTTTTTTTCAAAAATTTATTTCTGGTAATAATTTTTTACAAAGTATTTCTGGTATTAAAACATATTTTTACACTTTTATAATGCTTTTTACCTCATTTTCTGGGTTAACTATTTGCTCATAGCCGGGGCCCTAACATGTGCAACCACCACGGCTAAGGGTGGACTTGGGAACACTAGCAATTAAGAGGTGATTCCACGCTCCTCAAAGCCTTTCCTGATCAGAGACCTTGCTGTTGGACGTAGTTTATCGTCTTACCCTGGACGCAGATGCAGCATATCTCTATACCCAGAACGGTGCATGAGAATGATGTTTTTTTCTCTATCCTAATAGAAATGTTCATGTAAAACTACTATATATGAATTTTTAGTCTGTAACTATTATAATAATAACAGAATCTACCCAGACAACAAAGTAAAGGATCAGTTTAGATATCGATTGTAATATAGAATTATCTCCGCATTATAGTCACATGACAATTTCTTGTTTGTTTAGCAAATTCTGATTAGATATGAATTCATCTCGTTATTCTCTCCAGCTATGGGTTGATTAACAACACTTGTAGCATTAACTTAAAACAAAAAATTCTGCCAATCCTAAATTATATGCCAATTGTTTAGTCAGTAAATGTTATAATATATACAAAATTAAAACTAGCGGATGTCGTCGAAGACTTGACCCACCTCGTTTATTATAACCGCCATTTTATTCCAGTCGATAAAAGAAATCAAAACAAAAGAAAAAATGTGTTTTAATTGAAACCGTACACCCTGTCTTCCAATAATTCAGGCTTGCGGCCACATCAGATGAAGACATCGGTTCCCGTACGATCACCAAAGTTAAGCAATGTCGAGCCTGGTCAGTACCTAGATGGGCAACTGCTTCGGATACCAGGTGCTGTAAGCTTAGATGTGCGGGGGTGTAATGCTTCTGTGTGTGTATCTATGTGTATGTATCCGTTTGTGTTTATGTCTGTATGCGTGTGTAGTTTTACAGCAACTTAACATCTGGATTCAAAACTATTTTCTCTTAGCAGCATATATTTTTTTGCCGATGCAAATACTCATTATATAAATCATCGACAGTGATTATTTTATTTATGACACTCAAGATATAACAACAAGAGTATGCTTCAATTTCCTTCTATCTATTTGCTGAATATGTTCCATGTCCCTGAGATTGCTATAAAATAGCAACGCCCATAATAGAACATCTACATCCTGTTATGTAAGCATTCTCATTTGAATAGTTCAATTTTATCATGTACAACATATAAGTGACACAGTTTGGTTACTATTACAGTCCTTCTTATTCGATTATTTCCGTGAAATAAAACTTTTCTTCTAAATTACACTCTTATATATGTCTTCCAATAATTTACAAAAATCTTCGAATTGATTTTCCGAACAGATTCCTCGGTTTTATACAACTGCCGGCAGATTAAACACATTATTCGTCAGAGCATATTTCTTTCGTATTTTTAACAAAATTCTATCAAAAATAACATTTGGCTGAAAATAAGTCATTGATCATTTTAAAGGTTTAATAATTCCGTGTCTATCAATATTCAAGGCAAATCGATTATGTTTGCTTTTCGTATTCCGTCTCCATATTGAATGGTCACTGCAAGGGTCAAAGACTCAAAATTCAGGGCAACTGCATTTGACCTACTTACAGCATTCTGGTTAACTTCAAAGGTCAATTTTTTGTCCCCCCTTATTATCTAAATAACAATTGATCGGCCAATAAGAATGTAATAAATAAAAGCATTGCCGAATCAGGGATTAAGTAGCGTTCCCCCTCACACTTCCGTAAATTATATCCCGAACTATGGTTGGTTGACTATTAAGAATATGACAAAATACTTTGTATGTTGATCACATATGAGAAAACTTTTTAGTCTGAAAAGTTCGTCCATAGAGGCTAAAGCACTGAGTACTACAACAAATTGACCTGAAACGAAAAGTCAAGAAGCATATGTTCCCCTTCGACACCAGATTCTCTCCAGCCAGTAGAAGACTGTGATGGTCAAGCATTGAAGAAAATCCTAAACTCTGATCCAACGACTCAAATTGTGATAACCACAGTGCCGACGTGTCTTTTTTATCTCCCACTTTGCGACATTAGGGCCTACTGGATAAACAAATGGCAGAAGTTAACATTTCTTCCTTAAATAACCAACTGGCGGAAGTTAACAACATCTATTCTTTACGTAGTGTTTCACAATTGTGTTACAATAAGTAGTTTTGTTATTTGTTAGTGGAGAGTTGCTTGATTATTTAAGTTAATGACCCCCTTTAGCAAATCATACCGACTAGCCTGACCGTCAGATGTTCCGGCTGAATTGTGTCATCTTCCTTCTGTGGATCTTCCAAACACAGCGCCGGCGCAGATAAAGTTGACAGAACAACAAGCCGGAAAAGCATGTGGTAGACACGGACCTAAGACCACGTCTCGTACCGTGATTAACATAAGACAACATTGCCAGTGTGTTTGATTATTTTATTCGTGTGTTTCAATTTATGAAAAAAGAAATATTTCAAATTCGCTCTGTCATACTTACCTTTGCAGAGAATATTTCATACCTCGCAGATTTACATAAAAAACAACAACGCCATAAAAATCCTTACCATGTTCAGATTTATTAAGTATTCCTTATCTCTTGAAGTGCCTTCTAAATGCAATCTTCTTCAAAGATGTACACTGTTGTAACATACCTATGAACCATAATGGCTATGTACCCATTCACATAAATAAAGCAGTAAATACTGCATGTTGGTCCTTAGTCGAAGATTTGTCTCCAGCTGTGCTGGTCAAACTCTCTGTGTTAGGGCAGAGAAGATACCCAGACGAGTCTATGTCGAAGGGCAGAGTCTCGTCTCTGAAAACAGCTACGCGACACCGTTTTATACGAGTCTACCGGGAATTTATGGCCGACTGTACGGGCTCGGATACCCCACTTTAAATTCGGCCTTGTGCCACAGCTGACCGCGTGGGGCGGTTGGGTTAGTAGATATCCTGCAGTTTGAGATTCATCTCCAGCTGTGCTGTTCAAACTCTCTGCCTCCGGGCGGAGAGGATCCCCAGACCGGGCTATGTCAAGGGCAGTATCTCATCTCGGGAAACAACTACTAGGCCCCTATTTATACGAGGTCTACGAGGAATTTTTGGTTGAGCCTACAGGCTCGGATACCCCACATTAAATTCGACCTTGTGCCACATCTGACCACGTGGGGCGGTTGCAGATATCATGTAGTTGGAGATTCATTGTTGAATTCACTTGACTCACTTCTAGCAGTTGACTACTACTTCTAAGCGCCGCTGGTGGATTTTATATGTCTTAAGTATTATCGTTCATTATCAACATTCGTGTGATTATTCTATTCAGTAACCTTCTCCAGGTTACAACATACACCATTACAAATTTTCTTTCAAAAAACTATAGCCACGATGAAAATGTTAATACTACCTTTGCCATTGAGAATGTTTATGTTATCTTCTTCATGTCATTGGCTATATAACAATAAATCTCTCTTGTAGGTTAACTTGTTACTCATATAAAATTAGTAAAATTCGTACGCATTAATTAGCACATCGCAAAAAAACAAAATTGACTATTAATATACAAAAATATTATTTGTTTACTATAAAACACCAAGCGTAAAGAAAGTTACAAAATATTAAAATGTATACAAAGAAACACTCCATATTTTACATATAACCTTCACCACAAGGGAAATCAATTTAAAATATGTTTAAAATTTTTTAATAACCTACTCATAAACCGCTATCAATTCTATGTCCCCTAAGAGGCCAATTTAAATAAAATTAGTCGCTTACCGTTCCAAAATATTCCATGAAGGACGTCTTCCCCGATATTAGTATATTACAATTACAATTGTCCCTAAAAATGCTAGGATGAAACTAATAATTGCTTTTCTCTATGAAACTTTTCTGACACTATTACCTTGTCTGATAATGACTGGATGTGGTCAAATGTTCTTGAAAACAAAAGCATCAATTCTTGGGAGTTTCACTATAAGTTTTATCCAGTGAGAAAAAAAAAAAAAACAATATTCTATATTATATAAAAAAACAATTCAAGAAACGTTAACGAAAAATGCGTCTTACGTCCTAAAACCTGAATTTCGTTTAACTTTCAGTACAGGGAAAAAAGATGGTATTGTGATAATTGACCCTCTCCATGGAGGAAAACGAATTCATACAAAAATCTCCAATTCATGTATTCCATATGGTGATGGACGAAATCTTTTGTAATTCGTCCTTTTGTTTTGCATTCAGAATTTTTAAGACGATCTTCATCTGATTGCCTCCCATATTTTATCATAAAACACATGCACACAAACATATACAGGAGAACAAAGTCACAGAAACGTTTTTTTTGGCTTTTATTTTGAACAAAGTAGAATTAAATAGTAATGTTATAAATTGATTTTAAATTGAGGAAATTATTGACGCATATTCCGTCTGCCGTAAGTGAGAATATTTCGGACTCTGGAAATAAGGTGTTGCCATTTCCAGTCTGAGAAAAAAAATAATGGAGGCAGATACTTGGGAAGTATAAACGAATATATTTCTGGCAAAAAAAGTCACACCTGGGGTGACGATTCATGTCTGGTTTCATTCATTGTTTACTTCACATACCTTCTTATTATGCTCAAAAATTTCGGTTATTTAAATCAAAAGCTTCCTTTTAACACTTTCACAACGATCACAAAATCATTATCTCGGATAAATCAAACGTGTCATAAAAATAAAGAAAGGAAATGTTATTTTTAGCGGATTTTGGATCATTGTCGACAACAAAATATATAAACTAATATTATATTCTTCTTTTATATTTCAGGTCCCTTCACGACGTGGGAGCGCATGGCTTCCCACAGTTTTCTCTATTTGGTTATCTTGTCTATAAAGATGTGTAACATTCATTAATTTAAAAAAAAAAGAAGAGAGATTGAATGTTTCTTGCCTTAAATTTTATTTCACTCCGGACGTCCTGGGTATGACAATAAACTACATCCGGCAACAAGGCCTCTGATCGGCACATTAGAAGCTTTGAAGAGCTATTGTTACCAGGTTCAACCTGACCCGGGTGGTAGCACTGGTTAGGATCCTAGCCATGGGCAAATAGTTTACCTCCAAAATGAGGTTAAAAAATATGAAAATATAAAAATACATTTTTATAGTAAAAATACTAGCAATAAATTTTTTAAAAAATTACTAATGCTACCAAGGAAAATAAATTTTAGCATTAAATGACCCATAAAGAATTAATGTGCCGCTAAACAAGCAAACAAAAAAACAAATTTCACTCTGTACATTGAAAGTTACTGTCGGCCAATGTGTTTGTGTGTGTATGTATATATGTCTGTGTATTTATGTATGTATATATGTCTGTGTATTTATGTATGTATGTGTGTGTAGAGTACTGTGCATAAAAGCGATTCAGTAATAATTTTTTCAATTATTTCGCACTTTAATTACAAATAATTTTTTAAAATTAAAAATATACATACTATTAGTAAAATTAAAGAATAATTCGGAACTATTTTTATTTTAAAAAAATGACCATTTTTGAGTATTTAACAAGTTAAAAAAATGTGCAAAAAAGTGACTCATTAAAAAAATGTGTCACTATTCTAAAATAACTTGTAATATTATTCCCACAATTTCATTCCAGAACAATCTTGTAAAATTCTAGTAAGGTCTAGAATTATTTTAAAATATATAAAAGAAATTAAAAAAATATATTTGTGATTTGTAATGAAAAGCAATATACACGCATCACGCTCTGTTAAAGTAGCAATATTTGCATTAGCAAAAGCTGATAAATCGTGCAAATAGTGTCAACTCTTCTCAGTCAACAGTCTCAAGTCTTTGAGA